GATCCCATCATGGGCTTATTAACCGTGTTATATTGTGATGTATTATTATCCAGACTTTGTTGTTCCATCAATAAAGCACAGGCAAAGTTTATTTACTGTGATTCTTAAGGGCTTTAGAATTTTTGGAATGGTAAATAAGTATTAACTTCAAGTTACCGAGTCCATCAGACCCTGTCTTGATATTCATCCTGTCCTTTGAACCTTTGGTGCCAGGCATTGATTTTTCCTTGCTATCTATTCTGAAAGTCTTAGATACCATCTTCTTCCAATACAAGACTCTTATATATATTGAAAATCTGTTAGAATAGTCACTTTTGTCACCGATCTTGGCTATTTCTTTAGGGTGCCTTGCTTCAGCTCTACATCAGCACTTAATGCTTTACCATGTTCTTTGATGTTATAGAGGTGATTTCATTCCTTAAACTTCAATGAGTGAACTTCTGCTAGCCTCAAACTTTTCTTATTTAGCTTCTTTGCCTCTCTCAGCCTTGATAGAATATGAAGAGAGTTTGGTCCTTGATAGGGATTAGGCTTTGGCTTAGTGGAATGCTGTGGCTGGTTTGATCTTCCATCAGACCACTAAAACTATCAACAATAAGACTATTTCATTTTATTATTCATGTGTTCACTTGGACAGCACCTTTAATATCCTTCAGGAACATATCCTTTGTGTTCGAAACTTGGCTAACTGGCGCAAGCCTATCTGAGCCTTCGACATGCCTCCCTCACTAAGTTTAATCATTTCCAGCTTTTGATTAAAAGTGTGACACCTGCACTCTTCATTGAACACTTAAAGGCTATTACAGGGTTACTAATTGGCCCAATTTCAGTGTTGCATCTTAGGCATTAGGGAGGCTAAGGAGAGAAAAGGAGAGAGATTTTGAAAGGCCAGTTGCTCAAGCATTAAAAAAATGCTCAGCTTTTATTAAGTTTGCTGTCTTATGTAGCTGCAGTTCAATGTGCCCCCAAGTAATTACAATAATATCATCAAAGATCACTGATTGTAAATCACCCATGGAGTAATAATGAAATAGTTTATAGAGTATTGCAAGAATTAACAAAAATGTGACATAGAAACAGAAAGTGAACATATTCTATTGGAAAAATAGCACCAGTTGACTTGCTGGATATAGAGTTGCCTTAGCCTTCCCTTTGTAGAAACATTGTATCTGTGACGTGCAATAAAGTGACATATCTCTGTATAGAGAAGCATCATAAAAGTAACAGGATAGATAAAATTGGAAAATCACTTATTTTTCAAACTAATGGATCTAAAATCTAAAGCATTATTTTTCAAACTCTAATGTATCTAAAATTTAAAACATGAATCAATCCTAAAACCATTGGAGAAGAGGTTGATGGTGAACTTTGTAATGGATGAATTATGTTGAAACTACTGGTCAGTTTATGTTACAGGGCACCAAACATTATTGTACCTCATGATTTTATTAAAACTACATAATACCACAAATGATATATTACTGCAAATGAATTGACTGTAATTCTTATGAAACTTCTAGATCTCATTATTGGTTTCTGAGCAAATAGGTGATAGCATACATATTAAACATCACCATAGGAATACAACAAGCCAGATGCACAGGTGTGAGAGATAAAGAGTACAGAGGAAGAGAGAACTATTTTATATTTTGTTACAGATTAAACAAGAAATATCAATATTCACCAATGCAATGTGTGGAGCTTGTTGGATGCTCATATTAACAACTGAAATATAAAGGGAAAACTTTTTTATTATAATATTTTATTTTTACATCGTTTTGTACCTTTTTCCATCTCAGTTGTAATTCCCATGGACTTCCCATCACTATATCACACGTGTGCCATCACCATAGTCCAGTGTACTCCTCTCTAATCCCCCCCCCCCCATTTTTCCTCCCATTCCCCACTCCATTCCAGTAAAATGTCTCTGGTAATATAGTTGTTCATTATCATTATTTTTTTCTTTTCCCTCCTGATCCTTTATGCTCCTGTTGGGAATAAAACTATCCAGTATTTTTCTTTTCTTTCTGGCTTATTTCACTAAGCATGATATTAAGACTTTTGAACATTGATGAAATAGAATGGACTGGGTGAATCTGTTGGCTCTGTTGGGTGTCAAAGAAATATTGCCATTAAATTCTTGTTTTTTTTAAGGTCCTTACAAAAGACATACAAATCAATATATTTTGGGTTAAGATACATAATTCCTAAGATTTGCTTTTAAAATGGAAATTTTTGGTGATTACTTGTTTTCTATTTTTAAATATGTTTATGTTTATATTTGTATTTATATTTATGTATATTTATATGTTGATATGAATATATTTATAAATATTAACATATTTATATATTTAAACATACTCAATAAACAATTACCACCCCCAAAAGCATTATCATAAACACAATTTGACCTTATATTGTATAACTTGTGTTTTAAATGAGTTACTCTCCCTATTAATTGAAAGACTGCTGTTTATAATAAAAATCATAGACTTTATTTCATTGAATAGTGTATTTCTTAGCCATTAGGCTAGTCTGTTAGAACTGTTTAACTCTCCACTTCTAAGGAGGTACCCCAATCCATAGTCTCACTAGGATAAGTTGCTAGTTGTTGATTATTGAGGGTATTCATACTGCTTTTCACACAGAATTTTTAAAACACTTCCAACTAGCAATATTGAACTCTCCTTTATTTAAAAAAAAATGGGAGTTGCTTGAAATAATACCTAGTTAATGCATCTAACATTAAGTTCAAGAGCTCAGGATCATGACAGTTCCTCCTTCAGTCTCTATTATGTTTTGTAAATTACAGACTTTAGTACATTTATCTACTAATGATGTACTCTATACATGTAATAGTTGGGGAGGGAAAAATAAGAGAGATGGGGATTTAAGACATATATGTGACAGGGCCCTTTCTGGTGGCACAGTGGGTTAAAGCACAGCACTAAGAAGCTAAAGTCACTTCAGCATGAGTTCCATCCCCCCCTGGAGCTGACCCACATGCCGTGGCAGACCTTCTGACCTGCCTGCTGCTCCCCTCAGCAGTGTACTTCATCAGTTGGCCTGTTCTGTTCCCCACTACGTCTCTGGTGAATACTCTCACAACCCCTGCACCTCTGGCCTATACCTCAGTTCTTTATGCATAAATAAATAAGTCATATATATATATATCTCATATATATGTATATATCATACATATACATATATATGTATATATAATCATATATATATGACAGAACAAGCAAGACACTCTTTCTTGCATTTTGACCAAGCAGTTGTAATTTGCAAAAGTGCTGTTGAGTGCAGGTTAGTGGCTTGGATCAATCTTATTGCTGCTGGCATATGATCTTCCCAGAATCCATATCTTACACGTTTTAAACAGCGCTAGGTCTATTGGGTTGCATGAGCAGATTGGCAGAGAGCTTGAGCAAAGATCAGCTGTTCAGTGATTGTTGCTCTGGATCTTTCCTGTATTTTCTCATTTAGGTAATGGGTAGAAATAGAAAAATGGTCTCAGATATATGCAGTGTATGTTGCCTTTATTATCCTAGAGAGAAACATTTTACCTCTCAGCAGGTGTAAGTTATAGCAGTTATTATTCACTTTAATTTTTGTTAATTTTGAGTAAGTAGTATAGCTGGCATTTAATTGAAATGATATAAAAGGGTATAGATTAAAACCTAAGTTAAGTTCCTTTCCTGCACTTATCCAGCTACCCTGGAGACAACCCCTGGTACTAGTTTCTTGCAGATCCTCATTTTAAAGGCATATCCTCATTTAGCACAGTTCATTGAGTCACAAGAAACTTACCAAATTGTAGTCCCTAAATGTTCATGCAGTTTATATCCTGTCATTATTCCATCATGCAAGGTAGCTCTATCGTCCTACTCTCCAAGTTCTGTCAACCTGATATTTTCAAGATGGTAGGGTAGTGTTATGTTCTGTGTCCTGAGTAGTTAGTCAGGGAGATGAAAGCTTTCATGTGTCTTCAGTTTCTCCCAAAGGAGAAATGCATTTACTTGCTTCATGACTGCATACTAGGTGCCAGGTGTAATATAAATTTGATCCACTTAAGAAGCAGCCCTTCCTTCTCTGCCTGAAGTGCTTTTGGGTTGAGGATGATCAGGAGCTGGGGTGGCAGTGGGCATCTGGAGTTTATTTACCTAGCTCTACCCGAGACACACAATTGCTGTGTAACTCCAGTGTTCTGTTAAACTTCAGGTATAGTAAGTCACGTTGATGAGTTTCTCTTTTCTGTTGTTTAGGACAAAAGTACATCTTATAACTGGAGTTCATCATATTTTTACTAAAATATTTCTCCTTGTAAATGAATTGAAATTGAGCATATACAGTAATCTTTAATAAATTAAGCAAATTATTCACATCAGTCCATGTGGAATGATTTATTTTACTTTTTTCCTGAGAAATGAGGAGAGACTGGGAAGAAAATTCATTAGACCTTAGAGTAGAATTTTTTTACACATAAATGAGAAGCCAGAAATTCACATAAAATATAAGAATCTCAAAAAGATTTCTTAAGACACAACTATTACAAACATCCATGCATGTTTTTGATTTCCCATTACATTAAAACACTCAAATGAACTTCATATTAAAAACATTAAAAATAACTCTCTTAAAAAAGAAGATATAAAGTATTATCAGCTGTGCTTTTGCACATAATTAACATGTGCCTGTTGGAGGTATAATGACTTTTAGTGTAATCTTGTTACTCATCATAAAAAGTTCAGATGCTAAAAATTGGAGTTACAGTTGGGTGACACATTTAAAAATAATTTAGAGATGACTCCAGAAAAGACACGCTATTTTAGTTCCTTGTAATTCCCCTATCGATGAATTGTGAAGGCACTGATAAAAACATCCTTTCTAAAATGTTTGATTTTCCTCCTTTCTTTTAGAGTTAATATATGATGACCTTTAACTCCAGTGCTTGACAGGCCATTGTGAAGGCATGCCACTTTTTTTGTTTTAAGGAGATGGCTCAAGATTTAGCAGGTCTTTCTTCTGATTATCAGTTTTGGATGCAGAAAATTTCCTTATGGGACCAGGCTTCCACTTTGGAAACCCAGCAAGACATCTGTCTTCATCTGTCTAAGTTCCAAGAGTTCCTGAAGCAGATGTTTGAAGCCTTGAAAGATATGGTAAGTACACAGTGAATACTACTCAGCAATCAAAAAAGATTAAGTCATGCTATTTTTAGCAACCTGTATGGAACTTTCTGACAAACGAGTCAGAAAGAAAAAGAACTATGGGGACTACTAAATTTTTCCAACATAAGTATTATCCAAGGTAAGGACTTGTTGTATTAACATAACTAATGATGTATTGAAGGAAAAATTATCCCTATGAAATACAAACAAAAATTGGTTTCCTAGTATCTTCTTGATTGTTTTTTTGTCACACGAGACTTCTTGAAAAATCAGGTTGCTTTTAAATAAACCAGATTTTTACAGTTGTCCTGTAAAAAATTGGAATTTATTTTTTTTTAATCTAAAAATCTTGCCTCTTGTAAATATTGAAAAACTACTTGTTACTCAACCCTGTTCTAAAGTGGGCATAAAATATCTTTTATTGCAATAGATATTTTTATGAATTGACATTTTCATATTATAAAATACTGTTTTATACTTATTTTCTAACTTCAAAGTAAAAATCAAAATTGTCACGTAACATGTATTCTTGTGTTATGCTTTTCATCCCTTAATCAAAGAAAGAAGAGAAAATTTGAAATACTGATGTTTATGTTAGGTTCTTATAAGTCTCTAGAAACTAGAAGGAAAGACACAAACTGTGAGCAACTAATGCTAAATTGTAATACTTTTTTTTTGGAATAACACTGTAACTTGACCTTAAAGTGGTCCCAGAAAGTCTAGGACTGGCCTTAATGCTGAGACAAATGTGAGGAATTTATTGCTGCAGCAGTAGGAAACGCTTATCATTTCAGCTTATGTGCACATTATCTCAGTTTGGTCTTTTTTTTTGAACTTTCTTAAAAGTTTAAGAAGTGGGAAATGGGCCAGTTGTACAACAGCATGTATATTTTTAAATCTTAAGCTGTTTTCTATTTGGTGATCTCTTTTGGTCTCAGTTTTTTAGATTGTTGTAGACTAAGCATGATGTCATTTAGCATATTGTAATCAAAATGGTTATAAACTGAGATAGTATCTTTATGCTTTGGCTGCTTTTATTTCATTTTACAAGTTCCAGAGTTCTTGTCCTCTTAAACATTCGTTGAAATAGCCCCACTGGAGCTAAGTTAGGAACCCCCCTCGTAGGTGTTAGTAGTAAAAACCAGAAAGAAGATATAGCATTGCAATTATTAATCAGTCACAATGTTTTTCAACCAATTTTGCAGTCTTTTTTTTTCTTTTTTACTGTTTCACTCTGCTGTTTAAAAATAAAGTGACTTTTACTGACTTATGAGTTAAATGATTACAAAAATGATTTAGTTTTGGTGATCTGGTTTAAGAATGAAATTAGGTGGTTAAACTTTATTTTAAGGTGGTTGCTTGTTAATTTGCTTAACAACCTCGTCTAATTCTTTTCTCCTACTTTTCTAAAATACATATTTAACAAGGAATATTCAAACCCCCTCAACCTGTACTGTAAATTCAGTCTTTCTGAGTTGTATAATGTCATTTCAGTGATCAAAATATAATTTCCTTTAATAGGATTCAAATACAATCATTGGAAAATTCCCCACAATTGGTCACCTATTGGCAAAAATTTGCTGGAATCCTTTTATCTTAGCACATGGTAAGTTATTTTTGTATGTATGTATAAATATAAACATGTAGTCTGTCTGTTTTTTCTAGCATGTGTTAGGGGGCAGAAACTGAGATGATTGCAACTTCATTTTTAAACCACTGTAAAATGGTTATAATAATGAAATAACTTGTCGTAGTATCTTATTAACTCATTATATTGCTTTCTATGTAAATTATTCTTCAGAGTCTGAATTCTGATATGGCTCAGTTATTATTTAGGGGTGATATTTTGTCTTTACCCAAGGTTAAGTAAAATTTGGGGACCCTTTTGATGAGGTGTTCTCTCACTGATTCCTGACTACCTGTCCAAACTCATTTCCTATTTAATCCTGCACTGCTCTACCACATGCATGGCAGCCAGGTCAAATTACTAACAGTGCCAGTGGCACATGATGTTAGGGCCTGTGACAATGCAGTTCCTTTTGCCTACAAACTCAGTACTAACATCTCTTCTTAAACCTTTGAAGTATCTTTGCTAGGGCTGAGCCAGGTACCTCTCTCATTAGCTCCTTAGACCCAGCCTCTCTCTTAATTATATAATTTCTTTTCTAGTTTGTCATTATTAGAAGCCTGAAATCTTAAAGTACAGAACATGAGATGAGATTTTCTGTGACAAGCCACAGAACTTCCTGGGTGTTACTCCTTTTATGTAAAAAGACGGGACAGATTTATTCTTATGGCCTTCAGTTTGTATTGGTTTGAATCTTTCCTTAATAACTATTTTCATCACCTTGGCTTCCTTTGACTGTTACAGGGCAGGGAGAGAGGGGCACCACTGAACCCCCAAACCTGCCTGCTCTCAATAGGTTCTGCCATCTGCTGTATCAAGACAAAACATACAAGATTTTAATGCAAAGGAACTTTAATACAGTGAGTATACAATACTAAAGACAAAGAATATGATTTCTAAACCAAACACCTGAAGTTACCCATCCCCTCATGGGCAAAAGTCAACCCAAAAGGGATTGGTCCAAAGCAAGACCTGATGGCCCGCCACAAGCCTAAAGCAAGCACCTTCTGACTGGGACCCATAGAAAAGGGTCATACATGGCCAGGCAAGTCTGGGAGGAAAAGAGCACAATCAAAATTAATATAAACACTGCCATAGCCAACTTTCCTACAGGTCTCTCACCCACATCTTTCAACCAGTCCAGGGCCAAGAAACAAGCACGGTTTCTTCATCACATGCTCGCTGCTCCATGTGGGCTTGCCTAAGGTTTCCTCTGGCTCTCCATCCTGCTTTCTTCTTCCTCTCTTTAGACTCCTTCTCATCTCCTTTTCTCTCTTCAGCTCCACCCTGCTTCTGGGTGGGGCAGGGAACCTGGAACTTCCCCTTTTCCTAGGGACCACCCTGTTACATGACAAGAAATAAATTCTGTCTCTTCCTCTTTCAATGCTTGTGTTACTTTCGGAACTGGCCATTAAATTCCATTTTCTTGTTTCGGGTACATCTTTGACTCTGAGCTAATAGAGACTAACAGACATAGCAGCTCCAGGAGTAATCATTTCTTGTCTGTGTCACTACTATTGTTTCACTAATGGGGCACTTGCTTCCAGAAAAGAATCTTTTCTTATAACAAAGTTACTCTTTACACTAAACTTATTTGTGTCAAGAAAAGGAGGTTCCTACAAAGAGAATGGCATCAGAAATAAGGATAATGAAGAAGGTAATTGTTGCATAACTATTCCAGGCCTAGTAGGTTAGATTCTCTCAGATAAAAAGATGATTTTAGAGCCCTCTCTGGTTTTTACAGGCTTTTAATGCTGAATCAGAAGGCAGACTAACAAGCAGGGAGGCGGCAATTGAGCCCTAGCCTAAGGTAGATGCCAGTCTGAGCCAAAGCTGAGGATCCCCCTATTTATTGCTCCCTCCTAGGCTCAGTGTATGTATTTACATATGCACATGCCTGTGCTCTCTGGTCCCAGGTGTCCAGGTGACCATAGGCTTGGGTACCCACACCTCTCAGCTCTGGTCATCTACAACCTGGGAGGAGTACAAAACCACAAGTACAGGCCCTAGAGTCCATCAGCAGGAAGCAGAAAAAAGCCTGAGCCACTCCATTTTTCCTACAATAATAAAGGAAGAAGAACTTAGAACTGAAAAGACATCAGGAAGAGAAGAGAAAATATAGATGATAATGGAAAGGGAGCGGACATATTTTAGTAGTGGTCTCTGCATGAAACTACTGTCTTCTTGGAAATTTTGGCTGGGTTCCTTTTATCCCTACCCCCACTCCATGATTAAGTATAATAACTATAAATATCCTCTTTCTATTTGTTATTTGCATATAGATATATTGCTATGTAACAATTTGCTTCCAAGCTTGGCAGCTTAAAACATTATTTATTGTTTCAAAATTGTAGCAAATATATGTGGCTGGTTTCTTTTCCACTTATTTTTGGATTCCAAATTTGCATTAAGACCTACTGTCAGTGATTACCCCAGGATGAATCCCAGGCAATTTCCCATCCCACTTAACTGAGTGTGGACCTCCTAGCAGGATCCTGACAGATGTGGGCCCTTAGTGAGTGTAGGTGGTACTCAGGAATAATGAGTGTGAGCTTGCATCTGTTCATCTCTAATGCAAAGTAAGCTCATCAGCATTGCATTTTAGAACATTTCATTGCTGGGACTTGAAAAAGAAAGGCATTGTCTAAAGGTTGGGTGAAACTTTCTCTGCTCCTCTGTATCTATTCCTTTTTTTAATTTGAGAGAGAAATAAGAAAATAATCTCTTGAATTGAAGTGGCAGAAACAACATCTTCCTTGGATTCTTTCAGATTTAAACTTCACATACTAACATTTTTTTTCTTTCTGATTTTTGAAAATGCTCCTCCTCGGTTTATATTCTATTTAACGTGGGAAATGTTTGTATGAACATACCATTGAATGTATATTAAGCTTGTGACATGATGGTAGCTAGAAATTTCTTTTAATATTTAATAAGAAGTACAAAATTCACATTTTCAATCAGTGCTCATCGACCTGAAGAACCCTAATCTCTTTGTAGGTAATTTATGGGATTCTGGAAATAAACTGTTCTCAGGCAAGCCAGTGAGGTATTTGAGCTTGTATGAACTAGGGAGAAAAAAGAAAGTTACTCACAGTAACTCCTGAAGAAGTTTGTTCAGAGATGTTATTTTTAGGAGAGCATAAGCTTATGAGAGGGAAGTAGTTTTAAAATTACTACTACCTTTCTTTGATGTGTGTTTTAAAAAGCAGAGGTAGCATCTAGTAGTTTGTACTTGCCTTATTTCTTGATAATGATAGCCTTAGAAATACTCTACTTATGAGACTGCATAAGATAAGAGGGCAACAAGCCCAGGTGAGACTGCAGAGGATTGTGGTGATGGGTTCTGCAGTCACACCCAGAATCAGGGTGAAGTCCTCTTGGTTGGCCCAAGTTCTTAGGCCTCATTTTTTGCTTCTCACTTGTGCTTTAAAATCTCCAACTGGAAAGGGCTCAGTTTCCGAAAGAGGGAAAAGAAAATAGCTCACTAAATAGATAATTCCTGCCAAATATTAGATATCAAAATTCAGCATTTTCATCACAGATATGGTGAAGTTTAAAATCTTAGAATGAAGAGTTAGGAGCATATAAGAGGTTTCTATTTTTATCCCAAACCATTTGGTACTAAACATAACATACTTTTTTTTTTTTTTAAAGATTTGGCCCTCCCTGGTGGTGCAGCAGGTTAAAGCACAGCACTAAGAAGCTAAAGTGACTTCCACATGAGTTCAATCCCTGCCTGTCCCGAAGGTGACCACATGGCCTGGCAGACCTCCCTTGGTCCACCTGCTGCTCCCCTCAGCAGTGTACTTCGTTGATATATCTGTTCTGCTCCCCACTCTTTCTCTGGTGAATCCTCTCACCGCCCCCATGCCTCTGGCTTGTACCCCAGTTCTGTGTGCACAAATACAGAACTGGGGTACAGGCCAGACAGTGAGAGGATTCACCGGAGACAGAGTGGAGAGCAGAACAAGCAGACTGACAAAGTACACTGCTGAGGGGAGCAAGGGGGTGGGTCAGGAGAGTTCTGTATGTCATGTGATTACCTCTGGGGCTAGGAATCAACTGGCACTGAAGTGGCTATGGCTAGCTTGCAGTACTGTGCTTTAACCCGTTGTGCCACCAGGGCGGGCCCAACATAACATACTTCTAATTAATCTTTTTGTTAAGTGTATATTTAATGAGAATATTTTGGCAAATTAGAAAATGAAACAAAACAGAAGTATTGACTTGCTGATAACAGTTATGTTACCTTAAAAAGACAGATTAAATTACTTTATGGCTTGAAATGTGAAATAAAAAACTAACCCTGAGAAAAGCGCATTTTGTTACTTTTTCCATTATTCTCTTTTGGCTTTAAAAATTGTTACTGTAACAGAAAGGGGATTGACCACACATGTGCTTAAGCAGTAAATGATCCCTGACCCACAAGAAAAAGCTCCTTAATGTAGGTTTCATATGTGGCTTTGAATGCCTGTTGTAGGAACCTAATAGTTTTAGATTTTCTAAAAATATAATAGTATGTTTTTAAAATATGATGTTTTCAAGTTTTTACAGTGATTGTATGTCCTCTGTTTGATTAAATGTACTCATTTTAGTTTTCCATTTTGCAGATGAAAGCCAGAATATTCTAATATGGTGTTTATGGTTTCTGATTAACAAAGAACCACAGAATTCTGCAGAATTGAAACTTAGCTCTGGGACACAGGTAGGAAAATAAATCTTGCCTTGCACTGCTTTGAATTAAATCGATTGTTTAAAGGTGCTGCTTTATCAGGGAGGAAAAAAGGGACAAACAAATGTAATAGAGTAAAAATGAAAACAATGAACAACTATAAACCAGAGACATTTTACAGGGGTGGAGGGGGAATGGGATCAAAACTGGGTGTGAAGAATGCACTAGACTGTGGTGATGGCACACTGGTGAATTGGCGGTGGGAAGCCCATGGGGATTACAACTGAGATGAAAAAATGCACAAAATAAAAAATCATGTAAAAAAAAAAAGTGCTGCTTTGACAGTTCATTTGTATGAAGTTTTAGAGAAACTTTTTCAAATATACTCTTTACTGTTACATTGTCTTTTGGGGTATAAAGTCATTCAAAAGATTCATTTTTGTTTGACAGTGAATTCCATAATATACTAGGTCTTGGGGTGAGTTTTCCCATGCCTACATACCTAATGATGAGTGGTTTTGAAAAGTTACTTGCAGGTAATTGAAAAAGTGTACTTTATTTCCTTCTAGCAGATGCTATCCTTCAAAAAAAAAAAAAAAACTGTTTCAACTTAGATACTTAAGTAATTCCTCTGAAAGCATTTTTGTTTTACTCCTAGAATCTATTCTGAGGCAAATCTCAGAAATTCCGCTGGGAACAACAGTATTTTATGTCATAAGTTGGCATCTGGGTCAGTATGCTCAGACTGGCACCTGGTGCTAGTTGGCAACTGCTGCTAACACCATCAAATCTGTCACCAACTGCACTGGTCCAGATAGCCAATATTTCCTGCATGTCCTTGTCAGTTTCTGCTTCCTTTGAAAGGGCAGGCACTAATTACAGACCATGGCAAGGCTGGGCTGTAGCTGCCCTCTTTGCCATCAGACTGATCGTTCTTTGCTGTTACCCCCCATTGTCCTTTTACAGTAACCCCAAGGACTCCCTGATGCCTTTCATACTCCACTTACTATGCATATGGTTCAGATTAGCAGTTTAGTATTATGAAATCATCCACCCAGATTAATGCACATGGTTTTGCCTATCAGTCTGACTGGTGGTATCATTCCATTCACTTCTTTTTATCGTTGCTTTGTTTTGTACAAAATTGCAGATAGAGATGACAATAGGAAGTATTTTCATTTTTTCCTTTAGATTGAAAGCAGAAGACTAAAGAATACAAAATTTAATTGAACAGAAAATTAAAAGAGCGGGATAACTGATTAGTTCAAATAAGGGAGAAAACAATGCTGTAGAAATGGAAAAAAATGTTTACTCATTATTTTTTTAAATTGTTCCTTCTTTTGAATGTTTGATAATTTAATGATTATTTAGGATATGACTTTGTATTGGCAAGATCATTAAGTGCCGAAATATACCATTTAATAAAAAAGTATTTTTAGTGTGATTGGATGAACTCATTAAAATATTCATTAAAATAATGATTTTTATTAGCCTATTTTAAAATTTCTACCCTTTCACTTTATGGGTTTTCCTTTTTTTAATACTTTGGTACTTATTAAGTACTAGAAGGTCATATAAAATAATTACTAACTTTGGGAAGTTCACAAACTGATAGTCATATCATTCCAGCATAGTGTGATTGGGTTTTTGTAGTGTGTACATATGATGTTAACACAGAGTAGGGTCATGGCTCCAGTTGGGGATTTGGAGACATTTCCTGGGGGGAGGTGATAGATTAAATGCATTTAGAAACTTGTGGTACTATTACATAAAGTTTAGAATCTACTTGTCTGGTTTCATCAAACCCAGAATAGCCTTTGTGACTTAGATTGCCATTAAAAACAGTCAATTTAGCCAGTGACCATTATAATGTTAGGGCAAAATTTGTTTTTGTCAACTTTGTTTACTAATAGCAAATTAGACACTGCATGTCGCACAGTAAAATTTTCAGTGAATGAATAATTTATTATTATAAATCCATCATTTCAAAGAGTGTTCCTAATAATTTTGAAAAATTTTTGCTGACTTATGAGGCTAATGAATAGCTCATGATTTTAATAAACATGCCAGCCTTGTTTCTTTATTGTTCACTTACATTGCATACTCTGACTTTATAGGAATGTTTCATGTGCCCACTTGATGGTAACTTTAGGCTAATGAGCAATCTTCTTTCGTGGTCACATGGAAACTGTCATGTATATCCTGCGAGTGAATGAAAGCCTGAGGGATCCCTCTGTGTGGGGAAGCCCCTGCTCTTTTCTTAAGGTAATACTTGTACAATTTGGATCTTATGACCATACTACATCTGGACTGAGGCTGCAGTGTTGATCCGTTTATGAAATGTCACTAAAGTTCAATTTCATCTTACATATAAAAGCTTTAAATTTTTTTTTACATCTCAATGGATTATCTTGTTCACAGCTGAGAATGCACATCCCCCAACTTTATGAACCACTAGTGTAATTGATAAAATTCTCTTGCTACCTTAGTATAGAAAGCTACTCTTGCCCTTTTCTCTGTCTCATAGCATGTTTCCTTTTCTTTGTACTCCACACACTTGAACATTATCCTGTAATCTTACTACACTCTGGAATCTCACTGAATTGGCATCATACATGGCCATATAGTCACTGATTTGTACTTTTTATATTCCTTCTCCTCTCCTTATATTTTTCTACCGTTGTTTTACTAGAAAGCCCAAAAGACAGTCTCATATCCAAAAGATAATCTCAAAATCCAACTTACTTACACTTTTCCTTTGTCTCATTCTCCCTAAGTAGAATTACTTTGACTACATATTGCCTACATTTCTTAATTTTTCTATATGAAAGAAATTGTAGGGATCTTTTACCATGTTCAAGGGCAGGAACAGTGTCATAGTAATCCTAGTAGCTGAAGCTTATCTAGCTTTGTGTTTATCATATGTTTTCAATGGCTCAATGAATGTTTGTTGGATATATTACTATTGCTGAATGAACAAATGGCATGTTGATTTTTTTTAACCAGTCTTAATTTTAGCCAGTTTTTAAAATTGATACTCGCTATATATTGAAGAACAAATTGATTATTCTCTTCAGTGGAAAAATAAAGCTTTTGTTATTATGAGTAAATTACTGTTCTGAGCAGTACATCATTTCCTGCAAGTTTGGGAAATGCCTATCAGTGTGGCAGGAGCTGTTCCCTGTTGCCCTGCTGAGGAATAGACTGGGAATCTTGCACTGGGGGCTCTTTGGGGAAGATTGTGAGGGTCTCCCTTCATAGTGACTTTATTCCACTCCTTTTATGTAGTAGAACTCATTGTGTGTGTGTGTATGTGTGTGTGTTTGTGTTTCCCTAATCTGTTTTTGAGTGTGGTACTTAGGACCTGAAAATCTGTGCTTGCACTTGCTTCTCTTTCTTGCATTATAGGCTTCTCTTTACCCAAGATACTCTTCTATCTTGCTGCTTGTTCTCTACATCCAAACATCTTTTCAGCTTTCCTTTATCTGTTTTACATAATGACCTCTTGATTTTTTTTTGCCTTTTGTATGTTAGTAGATGAATATACTATTAGATAGTAATTACTTCAATTTATATCTCATTAATTCTTCTTAAACGTGTTTTTTTATTTCTGGGGGTTTAGTGGACATTTAATGTCTCTCAGTGCGGCATATGAACAGATCCATTGCAGTGCAGAAGTGAGCATCTTCTGTATAAGAGACCTTAAATAAGTACTTCTCACTGGTGATCGCCTTTGTACTTCACAAGCAACCTGGTCAGGGAGCTATTCTTGGTCCCATTTTAATAAGTGAAAAAGTGGAAAGACAGAGAGGCCAAGTAACTTATTCAAAATTAAACCTAGTTAAGTGTTGTAGCTACAGTTCAAAAATGTGACTTTAAAACTGAGGTCCTGGGCCCTCCCTGGTGGTGCAGCGGGTTGGAGCCCTGCACTGTGAAGCTAAGCCAAATGGTGGCTGCTTCAGTGCAAGTTCCATCTCCGCCCTGGAGGTGACCCACATGATGCAGCAGACCTCTCCTGTCTCATCGGCTGCTCCCCTCAGCAGTATACTTCGTTGATCTGTTCTGCTCCCCAGTCTGTCTCTGATGAATCCTCTCACAGCCCCTGCACTTCTGGCCTATACCCCATTTCTGTATGCATAAATAAATAAATCTTAAAAAAAAAAACTGAGGCCCTTTTGATCAAATCATGTTGGTGCAAAGGTAGAGAACTTGATAGCTCAGATTTAAGGAGAAAGTTTTCATTTTAAACACTTTGGTAGATATATATTCTGATTTTTGGTTTGGAGAATATAAAACCACATGTTAAACTTGCTGTCCCTAAACTTAAAGGCTTTTGCCTCTAGAGCCATTTAAGGGTTTTATACCACTTATTAGGCAAAGAAAAATAAATTGAGATATAACTTATTTTTATTAATTTTCTCCTACTTATTCTTGTTTTGGAGTGACATCCTGTTTTCTTTCTTGGCTCCTATGAGAAAGAAAAGAATAGTGTGACATGGTAAATGAAGCATCTCCAGACCACATGAGTGACTCTGACTTCTTGTTGGTAATGGCCACAACTTCAGACATTGGAAATTTGGAGTAATGGGGAATGTGACTGGATTTCTAAGCCAAGTATGGAAGGACAGGGTCTGTGCAATCTGTAGCAGAGATTTGGACACAAATGTTAAAACACATATGTCCTGTGTCCTTTTTGAATGTAAATTAACTTTATTTTCTTCTATAAGGCAGAAAACTTCTAGTATTCTAAATTTAAACCTGCTTTCTTTCTCGTGTATGTGTATACACAGATAAATACACACAGAGTATTTAGAGACTTGAGAGTGAAAATGACTAAATTTAACTTGATTTGCATCCCCACTCTCTTATAAAAACATTTTTATCTTCACAAAAGTAGCGATAAAGGATTGATCACAAAAATATACAGAGAACTGATGAAACTCAACAAAAATAAAGTAAACAACCCCATCAAAAAATGGACAGTAGAGCTAAAAAGACACTTCTCCAAAGAGGAAATGCA